TTCTCAGACGGAAACCCCAGACTCTTGGCATGTGGCCTTCTTATCCAGAATCTCAGGACCTCCCACTCCATCTCACCCACTAGCTGTCATTCACCTTGGTTCTCTGGCCTCCTTCCCTTCCTCTGGCTCACTGGAGGTGGAGCGAACCCCTCACCTGAACTCAAGATCCTCCCATATCCTACAGCATAGAGATATGAGGGCCTGATTAATTCTCTCCCCTCTCTGCAGCTTTTCCTTAATCTACTGCTTCCCAACACTATTTAAAGATGCTTCAATAATGACCTTTTAAAACTTGCTTCCTCTCCTCAATCCCCCTAATAGTCCTCTTCTTTTATATCTCGTTTACCAGCCCACTTATATCATCCCACTTATCTGGTTTCTTCACCAGCCTTTCCCTGTATCTATGCTGAGAAATATCATGCTACAGGTTGAACTACAGCCTCCAAAAAAATGTCCTATTGAAGATATAAGCACTGGCACACATGGTGTGGCATCATTGGGAAACAGTACCCTTTGAGATGAGGTTATGTTGAATTGTAGTTGGTGTTAACTACAACAGAAGAACTTAGAAGAAAAGGAAAAAGCAAAAAGACAGACTCAGAACATCATGAGATCAAGGATGTGGATGCAGTATTATGAACCTATAAACTGAGGCTTGCTGACATCACAAAACCCTAGAAAGAAGCAAAGAGGGATTCTGTCCTGAGCCATCAGGGAGAGCATGGCCCTTGCCTGAGGACTGCCAGCCTTCGAGGCTGTAAGAGAAGTTATTTCTGAGCTTTGGGCCACACATTTCATACCCATTTGTAATGGAAAGCTGATTGATCACGACTGACCCAGGCTCAAGCACCTACAACCTTCAGTTATACATAAAGTCTCAGAAAAAGCATGAAAGGTCCGTCCTCTACTTCTGGCCAACATCTCTGCCTTGAGAGCTGTGTGATCGGACTCGGGGCGCCTCCCTCTCAGAAAGCTTGCTTTTCCGAGCTTCCATGTGGATTGCTTTCAACGCCATAAACCCTTGGGCAGGCGCTCCCAGAACTACGGGCTTTGCATATCTCTCACTTTGTTCCTTTTCAAGATTTTACTGGAATCAAGATCCAAGAATGGGCCTATTTCCCTCAGAGCTTCCTCCTCCAGCTGTCCTACATCCAAGAAACCATGAGCCAGTTAACTCAGATTTCCAGAACGCACCCTGCTTTTCTGCCTCCCTATATCCTGCCACCCTCTCTGACTTCAGCTCCTCATCCCTGCTGCCTTTGATTGCAGAGATCAGGTAGCAGCCTCCTGCCACCAACTCAGTCATCCTCCACATAGAGAACAAGAGTGCTCAGGCGCCTGTGGATGCCATGCAATTACTGAGTCCTCACTAATCCTCAGCATTTGTCCCAGGACTTAAAGATGTCCCACTTAGTGTACAGGGCATTTGCCAAAACCTGTGATACTACATCCCTCACCTCAGGACTTATACTTGTTCTTTTCATCTCCCTAAAAAATCAGCACCATCCTGAGTTTCATAAGCACCTTCCAGCCTTCATTTGGGACTCTGTTCTAAGATAGACTTATCTTAGGTGCATCCCTTACCTGCCTCCTATAGCCTGGGCTGTCTGGCTTGCATGATTCTCTCCTAGCCTCCACAGAACTCAACACAGACATGTGACAGTCTGACACAAAGACCATCTGGTTCACAGTCCTAAATGTACTCCAAACTCCATTAACAGAAGAGGAAGCTTTTGCCTTTACTGCTTCAATATGTAGCATAGACACTACTCATAATATATGTCCATTAGAACATGAGCCCAAATTTTAAAATAATGCATATGTTTGACAAGAAATGTTCTCTTTAACTTACTCATGTAACTCCAACCCTCTGTACAGCACCTTTACAATAAAATAAAATTTAAAAAGAAGTCTCAGATGTGATTTATTAACAATAGGTCTGGACCCAATCCTAAAGCCTATGACCCCTCTGCTGGAAAAACCTTCTGTGAGACAAACACTGGAATGATAGAAATACAGAATTCCCTTCCACATCTAACCAAAATACCTATGCCTTTAACACAGAAAACCCAATATTAAGAATCGCTTCTAGTAACACTGTGCCAACAATTTAAGCAATGTTTGCAGGGGCATTACTCATTGTGGAGTAATGACAGAACAATAAAGACAGAACATAACCAAGAATCCTTCAATGGCAAAGAAATGAGAAGGCTGGAGTGCATCACAATGGAAAACCACCTGGCCCAACCTGATGAAAAACTATTCCACCAAGAAGTAAGCTCATAGTGCTAAACTGCCTATCTACTACATTTTATCCAAGAGGCTATGAACATATTTGTGTGTGCATACATCTACAAGGATTTTATTATGAAGGAACTATGGACTGTGAGATAGACAGACAGACAGACAGACAGATAGAGGATTTGGGTAAATGCAGAGAGACAGGGAAGAGGGTAGAAAAAACTGAGAGCAAACATAGATCCCTCTGAATATTCTTATGTTATTACTTTCACTTTGAACCTCTAAAGATCAAAAGCTTAATGAAACAACTAAAATTAACATAATTTTGGGTTGGTGACACAACCACACAGAAGGAAATCCTTTCTAATGATTTTTAAACATAATTTGGCTTCATTTCCTCAATAAAATCACATATCCTGAGGACCAAAAGTTCATCTTCAAGGACTTTCAATAATCACAAGAAACTAGGTTTCATGGAGCTGGAAATGATGGAGTGTGTGCTGCAGGATTAATTACATTGACCTGTGGAGACTCGGGATTCTGCACAAGGGAGAAAACATAAAATTGGAAAATGTTAAGAAAGAGCCTGGAGTCCTGTAGATGTGTTGGAAGCTTCAAGTGAGTTCACACTATACAGTTTTTTTTTCTTTAATGTTTCCTGAGCAGTGTTCTCTGTAAACACATGCTAGAGAGCACCACTGGAGTTCTCATGAAAGATTCCCACAACTATGGAAAGATGTTAGGGGAAAAAGTCGTTTTTGTCTACACATAGTAAATACCTTCCAAAGATTACCTGAGTGACAGATACTATATGAACTCAGGAATCCACCTTCTTAATAGGCTTCCCAAGACTTGAAAGGCCAAAATTCTACCAGTTACGAGGGTAAAAGCTACCATGAATGAACATACATCAAATATGTTCAAATCTGTGTTGAATGGAATGCTAATTCGTGGAATAACAAAGAGAAATACAGCCTCTTTGAGTCCATTAGAATGATCAATGGATGACTAGTTGGGTGTAAAAGAACCAACCCACGAGTCCCACCCAAAAATCAGGTGGTAGTAGCGGAAGCTGTTATTATGCCTTATCTAAATGGGTTGCATTTTCAAGAAGATATCCAAATGATTGATGAAGGAAAGTTAGTTTATACCAAAACATTGCATTATAGGAATAAACAGTAAAAAATTCTAAACTCTCACTTTTGCACTAATGAATGAATAGGTAGATTCAGATAGTTATCATGAATAACCCCTTACTTCCCAAGCAAACATTCTCTGTTTGATGATGAGACTACAAAGCATGACCATGACACTGGCAAGAAACACACTTCAAGCCTGACTCTAACCAGGTAGGTCTCCTGCTACCACTGCAGATTCACAGAGACATGTCGGGCAGAGGAACTTAACAATAAAGACAGGATGCAATGGCAGAATGCACTAGTTTCCCTGAGTAAAATGTTGCTCATTTTATCCACCCTGTGAACTAAAGAATGTATGTCTTCTTAAGACCAACAGAAATCTCTCTATACTCACTAGATATCTAATGGTTTTATATACTCACTTTTGGAATTTTCTTTACTTATTGTTATACTGGAATTGTAAAGGAGCTGAATTGTGAGAGGAGCTGAATTTAAAGCATAACATTGTAAGAGTTTCAAGGGAGAACTCAAATAGTGTAATTCCTTAGAAAGACAAAGTCAAAATTCAACCAAATATACACCAGAAAGAAGGTACTTGAAAGAGATGGGGCCGGGTCAAGGGGAAAGGGATGGATGAATGAAGAGAAGAGGGGGAGAATGTAGTCAGGAATCCACTACATAGCCTACAAAATGAAGAAAAGCAAGGAAAAGGGTACATAAGAGAGGGACAGGTGAAAATGCTCAAAGGGGTGGCATTAATCACCATGCAGTGTCTTCATAAACTGCTTTATAAATGGCAAGTCCTTCGTAGAACTACAAAGGGAGGGAAGAAGGGAAGGGAAGGGAAGGGAAGGGAAGGGAAGGGAAGGCAAGGCAAGGGAAAGCAAGGGAAGGCAAGGGAAGGCAAGGGAGAAAGAAAGGGAAGAAAGAAAGAAAGAAGAGAGAGAGAGAGAGAGAGAAAGAAAGAAAGAAAGAAAGAAAGAAAGAAAGAAAGAAAGAAAGAAAGAAAGAAAGAGGGACAGAGGGAAGAAGGATGGAAGGAAGGAAGGAAGGAAGGAAGGAAGGAAGGAAGGAAGGAAGGAAGGAAGGAAGGAAGGAAGGAAGGAAGGAAGGATTTTTCTATATTTGCTTCAACATTATTAGAGAGTGTGGAATGAAGTATGAGTAGGGATTCAATGAAAAGGACAGATGGGTTTTAAATTAATTAGTGTGGCTGTTGGTGTACCTTAACCTATTCTTTCTATTTTTCTATATATTTAAATTTGTGATGATTTTAAAAGTAACAAAATACTAAGGTGTTTTTTGACTGCATAAAATACAAATGTCTGATTAGTCTGATAAGATAAAGCCCTTGCAGTAGAGACACACACTAATTTATTTTCATCCTAAAGTATTCAGAGTCGTGGATATAATGACTATACAAATTTTGATGACTGCAGGAACAATTGAGTAGATGGGTAAAGAAATTAGTTGTAACAGGGAGTAAAGAGACAAAAAAGGAACTTTAATATATGGTAAGATTTTGAGATGGAGGAAAGCGTTAAGATGGATGTGCACCATACTTAACCGACTTAAGTCTTTTGAGTCAAGCCTCCCATGGACAGCCCCCTTGGTCCTTACCTTTGTAAGAAATGACCGGGTGCTCAGCTCTCTGGCAATGAGCAGCATCCTGGGCCTCTGGCTGTACGAGTCTCCATAGCCCTAGGCTTGAGAATAGCCATGTGATGATGCAGGCTCCCCTCATGGTGGACAAGGGGTCTTTGATGCTGGGTGCTCCTGGTTTAAGAAGCTCGTCTTCTCCTCATGTGTGAAAAGTACCTAAAACACACAGAGGAACAATGACCAATCCAGTTTCATGGTGGGTAGAGCTTTAGGAAACTCCCATCACTAACTTCGAAGTCACACATAATTTGTAGAGATAAAAGGACTGTGGAAAGAATAAGCACCAATGGCTCATGTCTGTAGTCCTCCCTACTCAGGAGGCTGAGATCTGAGAATTGTAGTTTGAAGCCAGCTGTGGCAGGAAAGTCCAAGTGACTCTTATCACCAAGTACCCAAAAATGCTGTAAGCAGAGCTGTGACTCAAGTGGTAGAGCAACAGCCTTTTAGAGACAGGCCCCAGGCCATGAGTTTACACCCCAGGACCAGGGTTTGTAAACAAACAAACAAACAAAAAAGTCTGTAAGTATGTAGAAAGAACACAATTTATTCCTAGGTGATATGCAGATGTGTGTGTGCATAGGTGTGTACCAGCACATCTATGCACAGTCTTTTCTGTTCTAATTCTGGAGTAACTCAAATTTAAGCTCTCTGAGTCACCATGTTACTCCTAAATGAAACCATTCAATAGCTGTGATCACTGACAGATTTCTCCTTGGATGTGCACCATACCCTATAGCCTATACAAGGTAGAGAACTATATGTACAAAAATTACAGGCATCCAGAAAAATCAAATGATAACCATGGTACGTCACCAATAATCTGATTAGGATTAGACAGCCCGTATAAATTGCCCTATTTGACTATTTGGTGTATATATTGCATAAAAATTTAAGAGATGACATACTTGTAAATTTTTTGGCTACAGATCACATATTGAGCAAATAGAGTCTACAAGGCATACTACTGGGTGAAATATAGGTACTAAGTTGGAGCTAGGAGACTGTCAAGATCATAAAAAATTTAAAAGATTAAAATCTGTTCAAGAAAGGTAGGCTTATAAAAATAATGATAACCTTACGGAGAAGCCAGAGTGCTGTGGGAGTTGAGGGAGAGTAGCCCTGCCCTTTAGAGGGGTCACGGAGAGTCCCATGAAGGAGTTCATATTTGAGTTTAATACTGAAGGATGAAACGTATTTCAACAGATGAGGATTTCTGGAAGGTCAATCCATTCCAGGGGGAGAGAAGGAGAAGGTAAAGGGAGGGAAGCATGAGAAGAAGGGCAGGTCACAGGTTTGGGAAGGTTTTACTTTATTTGAGGCAGAGCTCAGGAAGTATGAAGGGGGGGAGGAAGAGCTTAGATAAGAGGTAAAGTATGGGAAGGCGAACTACACTAAAGTAAGAAGTCAGCACTTTAGATAAGAAATCACCATAGTGTACTCACGTTAGAAGAAAAATTAAAGAGGTATTGTTAGTGTGACAATGCATACAGGAAAGAAACAGGGAAGAGCATAGTGTGGGGGTGTGAAGGTGAAGCCACTGCAGTTGCTCAGAAAGTAAATAGATGAAGCTGTCACTTCAGATTTGTCCCCTAAGAGTGAATAGCAGACAGAACGAACAGCCCATAAAATGCAAATCAAAACAACATTGAGATTCCACCTCACACCAGTTAGAATGGTTATAATCAAGAAATCTAGTAACACAGATGCTGGAGGGGATGTGGACAGAAGGGAACCCTCCTGCATTGTTGGTGGGAATGTAAACTTGTTCAGCGACTTTGGAAAGTAGTATGGCGGTTCCTCAGAAGACTCCACATAGAGCTCCCCTATGACCCAGCATGCCCACTTTTGGGCATTTACCCAAATGATCACAAACAAGACCACACTAAAGCTACCAGCACAACTATGTTTATTGCAGCATTATTTACCATAGCTAAGATATGGAACCAACCCAGATGCCCCTTGGTAGATGAATGGATCAAGAAAATGTGGTATATATACACAATGGAATTCTATGCCTCCATCAGAAAGAATGACATTGCCCCATTTGTTAGGAAATGGAAAAACTTGGAAAAAATTATATTAAGTGAAGTAAGTCAGGCCCAAAGAAACATAGGTCCCATGGTTTCCCTTATTTGCAATAACTAGTATATGTCTGGGACAAGCAGAAAAGGTCAGATGAGTTGATGTTAGGTGAAATGAACCCCCAAATAAGGACTCAAATGGTTTTTCTTTCTTGCGATTGTTTCTAACATATTTATAAGATGATTTCTTTGTTTCTTTGTATGTCCCTCCCCGACGGTATAACCCCTGCTTTCACTGTATTTGATATTGGTATAATTTGTGGAAGGGAAGGGAAAAAACAAATTGTTTAAATAGGGATACAGGTGGACCCATTGCTACAATGAGATGAAAAAGACATGTCAAAAAAACGAACTTTACAATTTAGGTGTGGGGGGGGGCAGGGGAAGGAAGTGGTGGAGGTAATGTATCTGAGGAAGTGGGAGGGAAGGGAGGGAAAAAACAAAGGAGGAGGCAACAATGCTGAATAAGAAATGTACTTATTACCTTGCTCATGTAACTGTAACCCCTCTGTACAGTATTTTCACAATAAAAAACAATTTAAAAAACATCATGGGTAAAGCAAGTGTGCAGAGTTAAGGGCAGTTGGATATTCTCACATTTTTCCCAACGTAAAGGCAGAGCTAGGTCCCTCCCTCAAATCAGGGTTGCTCAATAACTTCTTGGCACAGTAACTGAATACAAGACAAGTGATGGGCACTTGTTTCCAAATTCAGCCTCCACGGGAACGGGAGTTTTCACTCTGTCCCTTAGAAAACCTTCTTTGGGACACCAAATCAGATCCAGCTAACTTGAGTCTGCCACACTAGAGAGACCACACTAAAGTGGCTCTGGCATCCAAGACCCACAGTGACCAGCTTCCCAGTCAGTCCAGCCAAGACAGCAAATACATATGTTTAGCATAATCTACTAGATGTTTTCGGTAGTTATCACAGAGCCACAGGATGATCCAATTCTGTTGTGCCCAACTCCAGATCACAAAAATGTTAAATGTGATACAATGTAGCTCTAACCTGCTAGCTGTTAGAAACACACAGTAAAGAGACACTAACAGACTCAGGATGAACAATGCTCTGTTTTGATAAGAATGTGATCACTGAGTCTTGCACGTGCCAGGTTTAAAATGCCAAATGGATATTTAGGAAACTTCAGTAAACTGTTGAAAATCCAGGGTGGGTGCTCAGAAAACAAATGTCAAAGATAACTTAGAAAGCTGTGAATGGTTGAAATCATACATGTGGTTCATATCCACCTCAAGAAGCATAGGGAAAACAAAATTAAAGAGGTGTTTGCCAAAAGGCAGTCATCAAGGAACTATCTACACCAAGATGAGGGAAAAAGAAGTGAAGCAGAAGGATCAAGACCTGTAGCAGTGGGGAGGTCGCATTAAGATGGACGATAAAAGTAGCACAATTAAAACAAAGATGGGTCACCCGCAGCGGGAGGAAGCCAAGGTCACAGGCTTCAGACAACAGTCGGTCAGTGGTCAACTTGGAGGAAACAATTTCAGAGAAAATGGAGACAGAATCCATGTTGCACGTTACCAAGGAAGAAATGGAGAGAGGGCAGTGGAACAGACATATGTGGTGGGCCCCTATCATGAGAGGGAAATGGTTTGAATGTCCCTCCCAAAACTCATATTGAAATGTAACTGCACAACATATAGGGTTGAATTTGGGTGAAAGGAACTAGCCTAAGCCAAAGTACAATGCGTGCAAATATGAAATCACAATGAAAGTCTCTTCTACTATTAATGTATACTAATTAAATTAAATTTTTAAGAAAGAAATGATAAGGGACATCTTATTATGCGCCAGTAAATCCAATAAATAAGACGTCTTATAGACCTACCTTCAACTGGAAACTTCCTTCTTTACATAAGCTCCCCAACTCCAATCCCAGGCCTACTTATTTGCCTCCAAGATAAAAGGAAGGAAAAAAAAATAATCCAAGTGCTTGAACCACTCTTTCCTTGGGGTCTGGAAATGGACAATTACAGAAGAGAGGCATGGCCTGGTGAATGAAAGGGCGGCTGAAATGGAACTGAGTCACCGGTGCCCAGCTGAAATGACAGGTTTCCCATGTTAAGCGGAGGAAGGAGCTTTTCATGAGCCCAGACAACTTTCAGAGGCTCATAATTTTCAGCCTGTAGCATGTTACCTTTTTCCTTAAAATAAAGGGACTATAAACAGTCATCGTGGGAAGGTAACAAGGAAGGGCAGTGAGTCTTCATGTGGAGAACTGGGCTTTTCTGGGCATCTACCCTTCAAGGCCAACTCCTCTGAACAGGCTCCGCTCTAAATGACTGGTCCTTCATCCTCAACTCTGTAAATTCCATCTGTCACTAAATTGAGATAATGTTGGGGACACTGTGCTTCTAAATCAGGGTGTTAGATTTCAATCTCAGCTCTGGTGACATTTCAGAAAGGCAAGTGTTTCTTTCGGGGCCCTTTGATGCATTTAGCATCCTCTCAGGCCTCTGCCCATTACATGCCAGTAACATTTATTTGCTTTTTGCCCACTAAAAATGCTTCTGAGCAATGCCAAAATACCCTCGTGGAGAACCTCTGATTTATGGGTATCAAAATATCTCTCCCTTTTTAAAACCTAAACTATCGTCACATTGCAAGCTTATTCAAAATACATTTATCTACATCATCCAACCAAATCTGTAATGAGTCAATTCAGCAAGATTTCAGCAAAAATAAATGAAATTCATGTTAATAATAACTATTTACTACATTTAAGAACAGTTCCAAAGAAGCAATGACACTAAAAATTTGTCAAGTGCCATTTCTCCACATTTAGGAAATCAAAAATAAATTCAGGAAGTTAGTATCAGTGATTTCTCTGGCACGAACATTTGTTACCGAAGGTCAATTTGGACTCACAATCAACCCTTTTGTGACATCTCCTTCAATATCCCTGAAGCTCTGGATTTCTGCTTCCTGATGTGGGAGGACGGCTCTACAGTTGGATCTAAATAAGCACAAGTCTGTATATAAGTGTATGTGCAATAAATAACACTTCCTATTCACACCCACATTGCAACTGAATAGGCTTTGGGGATAGAAAAT